TGTACTAAGCACTTCATATGCCTAACACTACAGAGGCACTGGACATGCTTTGGTGAGCTAAACAGTTCCTTCCTAGTAAGGGGAAAGTAGAACTAAATAACAAGCACAATTTTAAAAAAGCAAATCAGTATATGACCATAATTTCAGGGTGTGTTAAATGTAACCAAGACAATAAGGTGATGTGTTTTTGTCTGGTGACTAATGCAGAGAGGAAAATCTTTTGACATAGAATATTAGGAAAGGTATACCTGAGGCCAATTTGAGCTAATACCTAAGGAATACAAAGGAGTCAGCCATTGAAAGATCTGAAGTTGAGTTTTTCTGCAGGAGGGAAAAACTAACACAGAGGCAGATACAAGCCCCAAATGTTTAAGGGCCCAAAAGAAAGCCTGTGTGGCTAGAGCATGGGATAGTCGGGGGTTTGAAAGAAGCCCCCACACTTGGAATAGGTAAGGCCTAGTGCCATTTCCTCACTGCCCACACCCATGCCATCTCTCCTCCACCCCATATTGTGCAGGGCTCTGGAGACAGTAAGAAGTCTATCAAACAGTCCCAGCTTCCAAAGGTTCAGAGGCAGGAATGTGAACACGCAATCTAACAAAAGTGAGGAAGTGTCATAACAGGGGTAGGTGCAAAATGCTAGAAGAGCAGACCATCATGGAAAGGAAAGATGTCAGGGGGCTTCTCAGAGGTGGTGACATTTGGACAGGTTATTGAGGAGTAAGCACAAGAGTGAAAGTCAGAGAAAGGGGCATGGACGAGCCAAACAGTTTCACACTTGCAAAATGATAGAAGCAGCGGAGATGACCTGAAGGTCCAATGAAGGCTGGGTTGTGAGGACATGGGGAGTGGCAAGGGAGCCACAGGACTTTAAGAGTTTGGATCATGATGCTGGAGAGCCTGGGCTTTGCACAGAAGTAATTGGACACGACTACCGTGATTTTAGAAGATACCCAGGGCAACAGCTAAACAGGGTAAATTGGATTAGCTAACAACTAAGGGTAAGATCAAGTTTGTTGGCTGTTTCAATAGTCTAGAGAATTGAGGAAAAGGAATTTGCAATAAAGAGAAATACAGTCCTCTCGTTTCCAGGTACAAGAAGAAAGAGAACAAACATGGGCTAGATATAAGAGTCAGTCCAGCATAAATCTAAGCACTTTAGTCTGACCTGAATATGGCTCTTGCTGCGTCTTCTTAATTTCCTTATTTTATTGGCGCCTTCATTAAAGCTTGTACTTTATGCTGAAGGATTTAGTACTCTCTTTCTCCTTCTCCTTCCACCTTTCAAGAGGATTATCTATTAATCCAAATGCTGACAGTCATTCATTTCCATTACAAAAATAACCCTATTCTGTAACAGGATCCTCACTGCAACTAGATGAACACTTTAAATCAAGTCTGTGAAGAAAATGATTCTCAGCACTCTCTAGATGTTTATTGTATGAGCCTTTACCGTGTTTTATGTTGATGGAATTCAGCGTCAAAAGCAATGGACATCAAATTGAGATGAAAAAATAAACACAATAAATACAGAGCATTTCATCTTAATTCATTCCTTCAATCGTGAATACTAAACAGAAAGCTGGGTGCTTCCTAAACACACGTAAGAATCTTCGGGAGATTTACATTGTGGCTGGGGCTATCTGATGCATTCATGATACAATGAGGCCAGCTGAGATAAGTGGATTAAGGAAAAATGCAGGATATTGTAGAATTTAAGTAGTGATTACTTCTGGTTGGTGTAATCATGGTGGCCTAATGGAGTTGGGGACATTTGAGCTGAGATACTGAGAGATATTTTGGGTGAGAGGTTTCATGAAAGTGGGGAGCTGGGAGGTGTGAGGCACAGAGTTAGCGCTGTTTGGTTGGACACAAGCTTTGTATAAAGAATCACCAGAGTTAATTCTAGAGGGAGCTGAAGTCTTAACGTCCTGCAGAGCAGTAGACTGTGCACAACAGACCAAAGGGCAGGTTTTGAATAGGAATTGGAATGAGCTGACTGAGTTTTAAGGTGATTAATCTTGGCAGTAGTAGATAAGACAAATGAGGTAGGAGAGAAACTGGAAACCATTTAGGAGGCTACTGAAATAGTCTAGGGCAACATTAATGAGAATCTAAAATGAAGGTGGGTGCCATGGAATAGAAAATGAAAAAGTGAATTCAAGAGGCCTTAGCAAATGATTCTCAAGTCACCCACTTCTTCTAAAAACAAGAGAAGGTGAAATAGGCTCCTTTATTTTTTGTCTACTGCTAAGTCACATATGCTAATTTTGAAGAAAGATACATTTTGATTCTCTAATTTAAGAATGCAGCAATGTTAATAGTACAAAATTGCAATTATTTTCTGGGCACTTCAAATTTACAAATTCTACTGACAATGTTATTTTTAAAAGCTATTCCTGGTTTTTAAGTACGAATTTTAATTGAAGAAGTAACACATAAACAAGTAAAATTCCAAATTATACCCTGTGGTATATGAAATGAAAAATCTCATTTAAGAGCCTCTGAACCATATTCTAGAGTCATTTACTGCTGTCACTTTCTAAGATGTTCAAAATGTCCTATGCCTCTGCAAGTCTATGTACATGCTGATATTCTCTTCTCTCTTTTGATCCAATATGTTCCCATTCTGCCCTTTGATTTTCTTTTTCCCCTCTCTGCTTCCACAATGCTTTATTCTGCTACAGGGCTTCTCATCTAATCACTACTGGACATTTAAGGCTGGATAATTCTTTGTTATGGGTGGCTATCCTGTGCACTGTAGATCACCAGGCTCTCCCTAGCCTCTAACCAGTAGATGCCAGGAACATTCTCTTGCCAAAAGGCAAGAATTCTTTTGCCAAAAGGCAACTCTGTCTTGATTGAGAATCACTCCTCCAATAAAACATTGCTATCACTCTTCCTTTTATTAAATTCAGTTGTTCATGTCTTTCTCCCTGTAAGTCTGTATGCTTCTTTAGAAGAGGCCAGATAACTTAATCATTTCTTCATTTTTATGACATAGTACTTTGCTCATACCACCGACCTCACAGTTGTTAAATCAAAGGAATAGACAAGGCATGGTTAGACATCTCAAAAAACATAAAATTATGACTAAAGCATTTAATAACACCAAAAGCATACTAATAATTTTCCTGGAGTTACTAAGTGTTGTACACATTTTAATCATTAAGATTTCACATTACTTGCAGAAACAAAAAACTAGACATGTGAAGAGGATAACAGCCATATATGGCAGAGCACAGGGTGCCCAAATATATGATGCAGGCAATACATGCCATCACAAACTATTGTGAATGAATAAGATCAGACATAAATTGAGAGTGATGGATTGGTTGGGGTGGTTAGCTGGCAAACTGGTAGATAGAGCTACCAAAAATCTGGCAAAACTAAGAATATGAAAATCAAAGAATTTCCATTGACACTTGTGAAATTTGCTTTATCTCTCTAATCAAATTGTGTAGTGTTTAAGGACAGCCAATCCTGGATATCTTATTGGTGCTTTAAGAAGTTAAATAGTCCAAGAAGTTTATGTATCAGGTGGCTCCAAATAAGCATTTCTCCTTCCCTCCCTTGTTTTATCCTTTAACAACATCAGCACTGTGCCAGCTATATGTCACTACTGTACTGAGAATGAAGCTGTGAGAGAAGGATTTGGTTCTGTTGAAGGCTTAATCAGAGACTTTGCATATGACTATAAGAACCTGAGAGATCTTAATGTTATTTCAAGTCTCTAAACCATACGCATTCATAATGTGTATTTATGCTTTACTGTCTCTATGTAAATGCAATTAAATATTATCTTACAAACCTTCCGAAGAAGTAAAATATGTTCAGCTACATTAACCACAATAATTGATTTGCCATTGCAGAGCTACTCCCTTAGGACTGTGCTTGTGAAATAACTGCCAAGACGTTTGGGTGAGACAGCAAGGAATCTCTGATCAAACTGAAAATAGAGTCAAGGTAAGAGAGCAGAACATAATCATCCAGTTGGAATTTGGCCAGTAGGTAAGATAGATTCTCTTAATTCCTAAGGAAGAGAGCTTAAGAATTAAAATATACAATGCTTGAACCATGAATATATTTCTCACTCAAATACAAAGGTAGTCATTACCTTTTGAATTCCCACCAGTCCTATGTCCTTGACAATTCCACCGGAGAACTGAGACTCCTAGGATCTTGGATATGAGCCACAAAAATCTTTGCTCAGGTAAAATTCATTTCTCTTGTGTAGACAGGAACATTTATATAGCAGACATTTAGAAAAGCTCTATTAATGTCTTGGGCTTCAAGCTCTCCAAAGAGCTCTCTAAACTAATCCTTAAGCTCATGGGTATCTTATAATCAATGATAAATGTCTTGATGTTAGCGGCTTCAAAATATTTCTATAAGGATTTTACATGTTCTAAATAATTTAAAAGTTATAAATATGCTACGATTTTTACTAAAAACAAACTAGGGCTTCTAAATTAAATAATTCAACTGGATTTTTTAATCTTGGGATATTTAAAATAAATTACTTAGCATCCAATATGCTAGGGATATTTTGAAGCTATCTCTTGAAAACTATTTTTTATTTTAGTATTGAAAACTTTTTACATTAACTCACTGGGTCTAGTTCTCATAACAAGAACTCATTTTCTTTCTTTTCTATATGATATATTATAAGAGGACATATTGAAATATTTAATCAACATATTTATTGATTGATTATATACTTTATAAGTCATTGTGTTAGATGGGATGGGAAAATCAAAGATGTATAAGATAGGTCCTCTGGAGAAGAAAATCTATTATCAAAGATAAGACATGGACCAGAGGAAAATTAATGTCATGACTATATTTATAGGTTTGTTTATAGAGTTAAATATATTTTTTTTATATTTTATCTAGCAACTGATAACTATACTTCAGAACACCCTAATAAATAGAGGTTCAACATGACCATTGTTAAAAGCTTTCATGGAATAACATTTTTAAAATAGGTGTGTTCCTACCAGACAGGGCTGTGAAATTTGCGCCTTGGATGAAGACTTCAGTTATTCCGAGGGCCTTCAAAACATCTTTTAAATCAATTTCCTGTTCCACTGTGAACCTGGAGAACACATAGGAGGAAAAGTATTTAGTTACAGTATTTTAAAAGTATTTAGTTACTGTACCTTGTTAACTGGGACAAAGGTAATATGCTAGATATAGTGATTTTATTTTATTTAATTTTTGTTGAAGATTTATTTATTTATTTATACAAGCACTGGGTACAGTCAGAAGCGCGGGAGGGTGAGAGAATTCTCCAGAGCCAGAGCGTGGAGCAGAATAGGCAGACTGACGAAATACACTGCTGAGGGGAGGTCTGTCGCGCCATGTGGGACCCTCTCCTGGCGGCAGGGGATCAAACCGGCGCTGCAGAGGCTGCGGGCAGCTTTGCAGCCCAGCGCTCAACCGCCGCGCCACCAGGGGAGGCCCCGATATAGCAATTTTAAAAGCCTATTTTATAGAGAGTAAATTATTACTAAAACTTTTTACTGCAAGTCACATTTAAATTCCTAAGTAGGAAAAATATGTAATTGGACACAAAATTGCAAAATATGATGGAATAAATGTTCTGAGATCAAGGATCATCACCACAATACTATTTAAACCTTTGGAGCAAATGAATAGCTTTCAAAATCTTTCTATCTAACAAATATTATATTTGATTTATATTTATTTACATTTGATTTGTGTTTGTTTTGATAAGCTGATGACTAATCATACATCTACCTGAGGTAGCTCATTCTCTTCTTAATATCCAATTTAGGATGTCTCCCTAAGGAAAGGGTTAATTAAGAGCCCAGTTTTGAAATACAATGGCTTTAGCATCTGAATTCCACAAAACTCAGAGAAAGAAAACATAAAAGCTACCACATCAATACCTGTGTCTTCATGCTTCTATTAGTCTCTAGAACACAAGCCTGTTCTCATAGCAGCATCACAGAAACATGGTGAATGAATGAATGTGAGTTAAATACTACATCTTAAAAACCATGCCTTTTTTAGAGGTACTGTAGAGATTTTTCAAACAAAAGGAAAAAGTTATCTTAATTTTTCATTCCAGTGGACTTTGTAAAGTAGTATATATAGATGTTCATCACTTTTTTAAAAAAAATATTTTTATTTATTTATTATGTAAATCTGGGGTATAGGCCAGAGGTGTGGGGGGTGAGAGGATTGACCAGAGACAGAGTGGGGAGCAGAACAGGCAGATCTACTGAAATACACTGCTGTGAGGAGCTTCAGGCAAAACAGGAGAGGTCTGCTGAGCCCTATGTGGGTTAGCTCCCTGACTGGGGATTGAACTCAGGCCATCGGTATTGACAGTGCTGAGACTTAACCCCTAGGTCACCAGGGAGACCTGAAATGTTCATCACTTTCATAAGAAGAATAAAAGAGTGTTTTAAAACATATAAGTAAGTACAGTGGCATAAACAGAACATTAATTTAAAAAAATAGTTTCACAGAAAGCCATGACTGATACTAATATTGAGTCTGGGAATCTCCTTCAAGGCAATTAATTACATTACACATCTTAAGAGTGAAAGATAGGAACCAAGCATCATGGCTTCATTAAAAATAACTGCTTTTTTTTTTCCTTATTGGTATATAATTGTTTTAGAATACTGAATTAATTTAGGGGAACAGATTTATACTTCCTCAGATGTATGTTATCACACCATTCCCAACATTAAAGCACCCACAGTCCTTTAGCCTAGACCAATGTGCCCCCTCCCCACTTTTTCCCCACCCTCATGTACTTCCCCTCTAGTAGCCTCAATTCTGCAGTCATATTTCTAGGGTATCTTTTGGTTTGGTTTTGTGAGTTCCTTTATTCCCCAGTATCCCCTCCCCGCCCCCATATTCCACATGATTGAAACCATCTGGTATTTTTCTTTCTCTTTTTGAGTTACTTCATAATTCCCTCCTATTCCATCCATGTTGTCATAAATAGCAAGAATTAATGCTTTTCTATGGCTGAATAGTATTCCTCTGTGTGTACATATACATATACATACATATACACACATCACATCTCCTTAATCCACTGCTCTGTAAATGGACATTTAGGATGTTTTCATAGCTTGGCTATTACAGTGTTGCAATGAACACAGGAGTGTATATATATCCCTTCACATAGTGTTTTGTTGGTTGGTTTGTTTGCGTGAATTCTTTGGGTATATACATAGGAGTGGAACTGCTTTATCATATGGTAGATCTATTTTCAGTATTTTGAGGAACCACCCTACTGTTTTTGCAAAGGGGCCAGACTAGTCTATATTCTCACCACCAGTAAATGAGAGTTCCTTTTTCACCACACCCTCACCAAAAATTGTTGAGTTTAGATTTTTTTTTTAATATGGGCAGTTCTCACAGATGAAAGTGTTATCTCACTATGGTTTTGGTTTGCATTTGCATTTCCCTGATGATAACTAATGTTGAAATCTTTTCATGTGCTAGTTTTTCATCAGTACATTTTTTTTGGAGAAATGTCTATTTAACTCTTCTGCCCATTTTTTGATTGGGTTGTTTCTATTGTTAAATTGTCTGAGTTCTTTGCAGATATTAGATAAAAGCCTCTTGTCAGATGTAAGATATGAAAATATTTTCTCCCATTCATTAAGGTACTTTTTTTGTTTTAATGATCATTTCTTTTGCTGTATGGAAGTATTTTAGCTTGGTGTAGTCCAATCACTGATTTCTACCTTTTCCCCCCCTTGCAATTGGATTCAAGTCTCCAAAGATATCCCTGAAGTCAATGTCATGTAGTATTTTGCCTTTGATTTCTCCTGTGCTTTATGGTTTCTGGCCTTAAAGTTAAGTCTTTTGCCCATTTCAAGTTAATTTTGTGTATGTGGGGGAGAGGTCTAATTTAATATTTCTATATATTATAGTCCTGTTTTCCCAGTACGTTTGTTGAAGACATTTTGTATACTCTTTGCTCTTTTGTCATAGAATTACTATCCATATAAATGTGGGTTTTTTACTAGGTTCTCAATTCTGAGTCAGATTCTACTTTCAATTCTACTCCAATGATCTGTGAGTCTGTTTTGTATACCAATAGCATACTGTTTCAATTACTATAGCCTTATTGTTTAGTTGGGAGCATGATACTTCCTATCTTCTTCTTTTTGGTCAAGATTGCTTTGGCCACTCATAGTCTTTTGTGATTTCATATAAATTTCAATAATATTTGTTCTATTTCTATGAAGAATTCCATTGAAATTGTGGTAGGAATTGCATTGAATCTATTGATATGTATTGCTTTGGGTAAGATGGTTATTTGAAAATGTTGTCTTCCAATGTATGAGCATTTAATATGTTTCCATTTCCTTCTGTCTTTTTTAATTAACAATGTCTCATATTTTTCAATGAAAAGAACTTTCACCTTCTCTGTTGGGTTTATTCCTAGGTATTTAATACTTTTGGTGCTACTAAAAATGGGATTGTTTTCTTTATTTCTTACTCATTATTTTAATATAGGAATGCAACAGACTTTTGTATGTTGATTTTGTAGCCTGACTCTTTACAGATTTATTATTTCTAAAAGGCTTTTAATGAATCTTTAGTTTTCTGAATGTATATTACTTATCATCTGCAAACAGTGACAGCTATATTTCTTCCTTTCTAAATTGGATTCATTTTATATAATTCTCTTGAAAAAATTGCTCTAGCTAGGATTCCAATATTATATTGAATAGTGATAAGTGGATATTCTTGTTGGGGACCTGATCATAGAGGAAAGCTTTCATTTTTTTTTCACCAGTGAGTATAGTGATAGCTGTAACTAAAACAAATATATACCCAACCAAATGGAAGAAAATATTTGCACATTATACATCTAAGATATACAAAGAAATCATACAACTCAACAAAATGTAAACAAATAACCCACTAAAAAATAAGTAAAAGTGTTAAATATATAGTTCTCGAAAGAAGATACATAAATGGCCAAATAAGCACATGAAAAAATATTCAACACTTATCAGCAGGGAAATGCAAATCAAAACCATGATGAGGTACCATCTCACAACAGTGGGAATGGTTCTTATGATAAAGACCAGAAATGAGAAGTGATGGCAAGGATATAAAGAAAAAGGAAAACTTTTACACTGTTGATGGAGATATAGACTGTCCCACCCTCTATTGAAAGCAGTATGAATGTTTCTTAAAAGATCAAAAATGGATCTTTAGGATCTTTAGGTCCTTCCCTCAAGACCCAGAAATTCCACTCCTAGATGCTACCCCCAAAACACACTAATTCAAAAGGAAACTTGTACTCCATATTCATTGCAACATTATTTAGATTAGCCAAACTATAGAAACAACCTAAATGTCTAAGTGGATTAAGAAGATGTGGTATACATAATGAGATATCACCTCACTCCAGTGAGAATGCCCATATTAAAAAAAAAAAAAAAAAGGCAACAACAAATACTGGCAAGGATGTGGAGAAAAAATAACACTCTTACATTGCTGGTGGGAATGCAAACTGGTCAAGACACCATGGAAAGCTGTGTGGAAGATCCTTAAAACAGTAAAAATAGATCTTCCATATGATCCAGTGATTTCACTCCTGGGAATATAACCAAAGGACACAAAAACTAATTCAAAGGGAAACCTGCACTTCTATGTTAATTGCAGCACTCTTTATAATAGCTAAGACATGGAAACAACCTAAATGCACCAAAATAGACAAATGGATCAAGAGCATGTAGTGTATATATACACAATGGGATACTACTCAGTGATCAAAAAAGATAAAATCATGCCATGTACCACAACATGGGTGAGACTGGAAAGGATTATACTACATGATATAAGTCAGAAGGAAAAAAGAAAAATATCAGAGGGTCTCAATTATAGGGGGAATATAGGGAAACAGAACAAATGATCAAGAAAAATCAAAACATGGGCCTCCCCGGTGGCTCAGCACTTGAGCGCTGGGCTGCGAAGCTGCGCGCAGCCTCTGCAGCGCTGGTTCGATCCCCGGCACCAGGTGAGGGTCCCACATGGCGCGTAGACTTCTCCTGCTGCCCGCTGCTCCCCTCAGCAGTGTACTTC